GTGGGGGCAGAGGAGGTACAAACTATTGGGTGTAAGATAAGCTACAAAGGTGTACTGTACAACACAGGGAATAACTGTAAATGAAGTGTAACATTAAAAGTTGTATAAAATAAAGTTTTTTAAAAAATTAAAAATAAAATTCAGTATCCATTTTCCATGGAATAATATTCAGCCTTAAAGAGGAAGGAAATTCTGACACATGTTACAACATAAATAAACCTGAGGAGATTATGCTAAGTGAAGTAAGCCCAAAGACAAATACAGTATGATACCATTTATGTGAGGTATCCAGAGTAGTTAAATGCATAAAGTTTACTAATGATTCCTGGGAAATAGGTGGGAGGGAAATGGGGACTTATTGTTTATTAGATACGGAGTTTCAGTTTAGGATGATGAAAAGGGCTGGAGACAGATAGTGGTGATGATTGTAACAACTATGTGAAGATATTCAATTCCACTGAATTATACGCTTAAAATAGATAAAAGAGTAAATGTTATGTTGTGTCTATTTCACCACAATGAAAAAAAATTAATATTTTAGGTGGAAGGAAAATAGAACTTGATAGTCTCTGCATTTTACATATTAATGTACAGTCAACAGGGACAGAGAGAGATTGGGACCTCTCCTACTCCAAATATATCAGGGGAGGAATTCATTACTTCATGTTTGATCTGGGCCTGTTCCCTAGACCAATCAACTGGGCCAAGAGTGGACACCATATTCAGTGCAACCTGGGACAAGTGAGCACAAAAACAGTGGTCAGGGAATAAGATGATATTGATGAAGTAAAAGGCTTCCATTCAAATAACAATACTGAGTAAGGAAGCCACACTTCCACGGAAAGGGGTACAGAGTCCAGAGTTGATATATCAGTCATGGTACAGCACAGAAACCACTTTAGTTTGTTTACACATAATACATTTGTACAGGTGATAGAGGAATAGAGATCAAAGACAGGGGCCTGTGACGTAACCCCAGGGCTAAGTAACTGCAGGAAGAAGCAACAGTCTAAGGCTGGAGAGACAAGGGACAAGGTGCTGATACTGAAGCCCAGAGGCTTGGGCCTCACAGCAGAAAGTGATGCGTCACAGGGCCTCTGCTGGGGCAGTTGGAGCCACAGAGGAGATGTACCTCTTCCCAGATACTACCTGAGGAACACAGGAAACAGAGACCCCAAATTGTCCCTTCCTCCCCACTCACAGTTTTCATCCGAGGCCTCATATCTTGGCTGAACCCAGCAAGGGAAAGGAGGAATATGTGTGTTGCTGAGATTTAATTTCCACAGCAACGGAGAGCAACAGGAAAGGAGCAGAACAGATCTCAGAGCAAACAGGCAAAGACCAGCAATGATAAGCACTCCAGACACTACTATTAGAGAGACAAAGGGATCTTTCTATTTTAAAAAGGGCTGGAGGGGCTTCCCTGGTGGCGCAGTGGTTGAGAGTCCGCCTGCCAATGCAGGGAACGCGGGTTCGAGCCCCGGTCCGGGAAAATCCCACATGCCGCAGAGGGGCTGGGCCCGTGAGCCATGGCCGCTGAGCCTGCGCGTCCGGAGCCTGTGCTCCGCAAGGGGAGAGGCCACAACAGTGAGAGGCCGTGTACCGCAAAAATAAAATAAAATAAAAAGGGCTGGAAAAAACTCATTTTAGCTAGTTAAAAGGTTCCATCACTCAGACCTTAGATGGAAAATCACATTGAGTATTTGCCTAAGGTCAGAAACCTCTTGTCCTAGCCTCACTCTGGGACCCTGGAGTTCGGGTTCAGAGCTATAAACTCAAACTCTGCTCTGTGAGAGAGTTTGCTCAGTTTTCAGCTTCCTCCAGTCCAGCTATCAAGATGCTGGCATCAATCCAAGGGTCTTAGATTTGAGATCTTTTCTGTATTTTGTTTCCATCAGGTGGAAAAACACAATATTCTCAGCAAACACCTTTACTATTTTGACTATGGGTAATGGTAGGGATATTTATTACCCCTTGAAATGATAAATATTACACTCGCTTATTCATCCAAACATTCATCTATTTATTTATTCTTTCAATCACCACGCATCTGGGTTTTACTATGCTTTAACGTTATCATATTTGGTCCTTAGGATTCAATAACGCACAATTATATTCCCAGGCAAGATGGAGTAGATTGAAACCAAACTTAAAGAAGGAAGGACTATTTGGTTTCTACTCTGAGTCTTAATCACTATCCAGGCAAGATATATATATATTTGCAACATTTATTACTGCCTGAATATTGCCATAATATTATGTAACTTCCCTATAGGGGGTAACCTGCATGAGAACAAGATCTTTACTTTGCTCTCTTCACATAATCCAGAACAATGGCAGGTAGGGCATGAGAATTTAGTAAACAGTGTAAATAATTGGAACTAAGTATTCCTTAATGAGTACTAGATGTGTGAATAAATTGTTAACTACTTTTGAAAGCCTTTTTCTCTTTTTAAGTGATCAATACAAGTTGTTTTTATTATTTTTTATTGAAAGGAAATAAAAACAGTATTTCAAAGAGATATCTGTACTCTCATGTTTATTGCACTGTTATTCACAATAGCCGAGATATGAAAACAACCTAAACACTAATCAACAGATGAATGGATAAAAAAGAAGTGGTACATGTACACAATGGAAAATTATTCAGCCACAGGGAAGGAGGATGTACTGCCATTGCGACAACATGGATGGACCTTGAGCCCATTATGCTAAGTGAGATAAGTCAGACAGAGAAAGACAAGTACTGTATGATGTCCCTTATATGTCAAATCTAAAAAAGTCAAGACTTCCTTTTGTTCTTCAATTCGGGGTGTCTCTAGTCTAAGGGATTAGAACATCTGCTTAATTCAAGCTCTCAATGAGAACAGATACACAATATTTCTATAGAACAGTTTGCTTTTTCATTAAAGCCTACCATTTATTGGCCACCTATTCATTAATATATGGTTTCTTCCTTAAAAGTCAAAGCCATTCTTCCTTCTGAACACTTGAAGCCACAACTGGATAGAGTCATTTAAAGCTCCAATGAAGGGGCTTCCCTGGTGGCGCAGTGGTTGAGAGTCTGCCTGCCGATGCAGGGGACACGGGTTCGTGCCCCGGTCCAGGAGGATCCCACATGCCGCGGAGCGGCTGGGCCCGTGAGCCATGGCCGCTGAGCCTGTGCGTCTGGAGCCTGTGCTCCATAACGGGAGAGGCCACGACAGTGAGAGGCCCGTGTACCACAAAAAAAAAAAAAAAAAAGCTCCAGTGAAGACGTGTTAACATCCTTGCAGAGGCACAGAGACTGTGATACACGAAGTCACTGAGAAGACTACACCAGAAAAGTTTCTTTTGCTTTGCTAGCCTTTAAGACCTTAAAGGTTTAAACGGTCACCTTAGAGACCTTAATCTAGTGTGTAAAATCCGAACTATTACCAAAGACGCTTAGAGTGTTCCTAGAAATCTGGCATGATAAGTCACACATGTGTCAGTCTTTTGTTTTTCCAGCAGATTCTTATGTAGTACACTCTGTGCCTAAACATACTCTATGAAGATGTACAGAAAAATATGTAACGGTTTCTGTCCTCAGATGAACTTTACTTTTATTTGAAAACAAATACGAGACCAAATTAGTTGCATGGCACCTGAGCCAAGCCTGCATTTATTACCAGGATCCTGTGTGCCTCTACTTTGACAGGGAGACTGTGGAGTCTTTTCAGGATCTGAGTATCACTGCAAACTCGGATCCTGATTCCAAGAGTCACCAAAACGTTTGGCCATTCCCATTTCCCAGCACACAGGTACCAAGTGAATTTCCAGAGGTCCCCTAGGAGGGGGACTGGGGAAATCATTATCATTTAACCTTGTTCTAGAGTTGCAGAGTCCTTTCTCTTGGGATCCTGCCCTCTCCTCCAGGTGATAGGTTCATGATCTGAAATTGGTTTAGATCAAGGCTATGGACTGTGTCTTTTTTATCGAGGCTACCTTTCAGCCTCCTGGTAAACATCCTTGTCTCCATTTGATTGTTTCCTCCCCTCCCTTTTGACTCTACAGACACCCTGTTCTATTTGCCATATTCAGAGGTTTCTCTGCTCAGGTCTGGCTGGCTGCCACTCCAACCACATTATAGACTGAGTGCTTGTGTTCTCCAAAACTCATTTGAGGAAATCCTAACTTCCAATGTTCCAATGTACTTGGAAGTGGGCCTTTGGGGAGGAAATTAGGTAATGAGTATGGGGACTTCATGAATCTGATTAGTGCCCTTATAACAAAGAATCATTAGGTTCTCTACCCACCTCCTCCCTTTTCCAAAAATGTGAGGACACAGTAAGAAAGTTGCCATCTGTAAAGCTGCCAGAGGACCCTTACCAACAACACAACAGTGCTGGCACGTGCTTTTGGACTTACACCTTCCAGAAACGGGGAAAAATAAACGTTCTTGTCTTAGCCACCCAGTCTACGGTAATTTTGTTATAGCAGCCTCAGCTAAGACAAACCATGATTCTCATCACTATGGTATGTACTTGGGTTTCTGATGTTTAAATGCTAACAGGTGGCCTCCATGCGTCAGGGTCTATAATCCCCAGTACTATCAGGGCATCCAGTTCTTCAATGATACATCACATCTTTGGCCCTTGCCTGCAGCAGAGAGTCAATCAATGAACATTCAAGAATGATGGGATTCCTCTCACCAGTGCATATTCTTAATGTTTAGTAATTTTCTTCCAATACCTTAGAAGTGTAACTCAAAGAGAGGAAGTGAAGTCTCCTCTAGCTGAGATTTCAAGGGGTAACAGGAAAGTTTATACCTTCTTTTTGAAGAAATATAAGGGATTAAAAACACAGCCAAAGTGAAAACAAGATTAGGATGCAAATTTTATGCTTTCTAGTATTCTGATCCAACTCATTGAACAGACTGATGTCATTTCTAGAAGCAATGAGCAATTTCATCACCTAATAGTCAATTTCACATTCCATTTATTATCATTTTTAGTATTATA